GGGACAGAACCGAGAATGATAAGGTTAGTTAGAGGGACAGAACCGAGAACGTTAGTCAGAGGGACAGAACCGAGAACGTTAGTCAGAGGGACACAACTAAGAATGTTAAGGTTGGTCAGAGGGACAGAACCAAGAACGTTAAGGTTAGTCAGAGGGACAGAACCGAGAACGTTAAGGTTAGTTAGAGGGACAGAACCGAGAACGTTAGTCAGAGGGACACAACTAAGAATGTTAAGGTTGGTCAGAGGGACAGAACCAAGAACGTTAAGGTTAGTCAGAGGGACAGAACCGAGAACGTTAAGGTTAGTTAGAGGGACAGAACCGAGAACGTTAGTCAGAGGGACACAACTAAGAATGTTAAGGTTGGTCAGAGGGACAGAACCAAGAACGTTAAGGTTAGTCAGAGGGACAGAACCAAGAACGTTAAGGTTAGTCAGAGGGACAGAACCGAGAACGTTAGTCAGAGGGACAGAACCGAGAACGTTAAGGTTAGTTAGAGGGACAGAACCGAGAACGTTAAGGTTAGTTAGAGGGACAGAACCGAGAACGTTAGTCAGAGGGACACAACTAAGAATGTTAAGGTTGGTCAGAGGGACAGAACCAAGAACGTTAAGGTTAGTCAGAGGGACAGAACCGAGAACGTTAAGGTTAGTTAGAGGGACAGAACCGAGAACGTTAGTCAGAGGGACAGAACCGAGAACGTTAAGGTTAGTTAGAGGGACAGAACCGAGAATGATAAGGTTAGTTAGTTAGAGGGACAGAACCGAGAACGTTAGTCAGAGGGACACAACTAAGAATGTTAAGGTTGGTCAGAGGGACAGAACCAAGAACGTTAAGGTTAGTCAGAGGGACAGAACCGAGAACGTTAAGGTTAGTTAGAGGGACAGAACCGAGAACGTTAGTCAGAGGGACACAACTAAGAATGTTAAGGTTGGTCAGAGGGACAGAACCAAGAACGTTAAGGTTAGTCAGAGGGACAGAACCGAGAACGTTAAGGTTAGTTAGAGGGACAGAACCGAGAACGTTAGTCAGAGGGACACAACTAAGAATGTTAAGGTTGGTCAGAGGGACACAACTAAGAATGTTAAGGTTGGTCAGAGGGACAGAACCAAGAACGTTAAGGTTAGTCAGAGGGACAGAACCGAGAACGTTAGTCAGAGGGACAGAACTAAGAATGTTAAGGTTGGTCAGAGGGACATAACTAAGAATGTTAAGGTTGGTCAGAGGGACACAACTAAGAATGTTAAGGTTGGTCAGAGGGACAGAACCAAGAACGTTAAGGTTAGTCAGAGGGACAGAACCGAGAACGTTAGTCAGAGGGACAGAACTAAGAATGTTAAGGTTGGTCAGAGGGACAGAACCAAGAACGTTAAGGTTAGTCAGAGGGACAGAACCGAGAACGTTAGTCAGAGGGACAGAACTAAGAATGTTAAGGTTGGTCAGAGGGACAGAACTAAGAATGTTAAGGTTGGTCAGAGGGACAGAACCAAGAACGTTAAGGTTAGTCAGAGGGACAGAACCGAGAACGTTAGTCAGAGGGACAGAACTAAGAATGTTAAGGTTGGTCAGAGGGACATAACTAAGAATGTTAAGGTTGGTCAGAGGGACACAACTAAGAATGTTAAGGTTGGTCAGAGGGACAGAACCAAGAACGTTAAGGTTAGTCAGAGGGACAGAACCGAGAACGTTAGTCAGAGGGACAGAACTAAGAATGTTAAGGTTGGTCAGAGGGACAGAACCAAGAACGTTAAGGTTAGTCAGAGGGACAGAACCGAGAACGTTAGTCAGAGGGACAGAACTAAGAATGTTAAGGTTGGTCAGAGGGACAGAACTAAGAATGTTAAGGTTGGTCAGAGGGACATAACTAAGAATGTTAAGGTTGGTCAGAGGGACAGAACCAAGAACGTTAAGGTTAGTCAGAGGGTCAGAACCGAGAACATTAAAGGGACACTATGCAACATTTTTCAGTTAATTAATGTGTTCCATAACGTTTTGGATGATTAAATGAGTCATTTCAGGTTGAATAAAGGTATTCTCGGCCGCCCTGGTGGTCTGTGGGGGAAATACTTCACTTGCAATTGCAGGAGCACCGACCCGCACCCACAGGCTCAGAAGTCTCGTGAGAGTCAGTCTTGCTTTACGGCAAGAACTGCTACACCCCCCAGTTAAAAGCATTCTCGTTGCTAGCACAGTGGCGATCCTTGTGCAGTTATGCTACGTTCACGCAGCAAAAGCAGCAAAATCGCGTCTGCTGCTTCATTTTTGCTGCTTGTACCAGTTAGTTCTGACGCGCGGCTGAAGCAGCTTTGCTGCTCTGGCTGCGCGGTGCAAAAGTGTGTCTGACGCGCGTTGGGCGGAGCTACTCTATCCTTTCTCTGCCTTGCAGCTGTATTTGCTGTGATCATTTGGAATAAAGTAGTTTTAATATGTGTTTAAATGAGGAAAATACACCTGAAAACGTAATCAGTGCCGTCAGTTCATTCAGATTATCATCCAGCCTTCAATATTTTTTCTGTCGGAGCCGCTCAGACCCCCACATACCAGCGGTGCGCCGACAGTAGGAATCCCTTCATCAGCAGCCTCTGGCCGGGTCGCCTCCTCGCGGTTCACCGCTGCAGCTGGTAGGTGTTTTTGATCTAAATAATCCAAACTGCATATTCTGCCGGCAGATTTCTGCTTTTTAAGTTAATTTAGGCGTCAATAAACTGTTTAAGAGGAGAGATCATAGCCTCTGATCATCAGCGCTGTGTCTCTCTCCCTGCTTCAGCTGCTCAGACGCGCTGGGCCTGCTGCTCAAAACGCGCCTCGGGACCTTTTGCTGCGCCTTGACGCGCGTCAACCATTGACTTTGCATGTAAACTCGCTGCTTCTGTGGCGCCAGCTGCGGTGTGAACGCAGCATTAGTCATTCGTTGCGTTCGCCTGTCTGCTAAGCTCAAAACAACCGCGCCTGGCTTGACGGAGAAACCAGGAGAACAGCTGTGCATATTTACGACAGTGCACTTTTACTTTCGCCCTCTGGGGGGAGCCTCGCTGGAAAATCAAAACCAGTTGCATAGTATACCTTTAAGGTTAGTTAGAGGGACAGAACCAAGTACGTTAAGGTAATTTGAGGGACACAACCAAGAACGTTAAGGTTAGTTAGAGGGACAGAGCCAAGTACCTTAATCAGAGGGACACAACCGAGAACGTTAAGGTTAGTTAGAGGGACAGAACCAAGTATGTTAATCAGAGGGACAGACCCGAGAATGTTAAGGTTAGTTATAGGGAAAGAACCGAGAACGTTAAAGTTAGTCGGAGGGACACAACCGAGAACAATATGGTTAGATAGAGGGACAGAACCAAGTACGTTAATCAGAGGGACAGACCAGAGAATGTTAAGGTTAGTGGCGGCTGGCCAATAGAGTGTGCTAGGGTGCCGCCCCAACCAATGACCTTGATTAAGACACAAAAAAAACAAATAAAAATTTAAATTTAAATCTAAGTATTTCGAAATATATTGATAGATATTTTTTAGATGTGCAAGATAAATATTTAATCTTTAATGACAAGTAAAGCTTTTTTTTTTGTCAGATTGGTGATTTTTTTTCACCCAAAATGTTTGCACATTGAATCTCGTTAACAGTTGTCCATGCGCAGTAGCTCCTCTGTAATACAGAAGAATGGGAGAGCGTGAGGTGCACTTGAGCTGCGCCCCCAGGTGGCAGGAACAGTTGTCACAGTCGTAGTGCGGGTGATTGACAGGTTGAGTCATAGGAGGGAAGCAAACTTATCAAGAGAAGATGGAGGTGAAACAGTTTGGACCTAATCAGGCAAACATCAAAATTAAACAGCAGTCCGAAGACAGATGGAGACGGTTGACCTGGTCCTTTTCCAGGACCTGGTTTAGCTACAAGGCTAGGCTAACTGCATGCAGCGAGGCTAACTGCACGCAGCGAGGCTAACTGCACGCAGCGAGGCTAACTGCACGCAGCGAGGCTAACTGCACGCAGCGAGGCTAATGCTTTATTCTGCTTTCTCTGCAGAACGTCAGGATCTGATCCAGCATGGATAAAGACGGCTAGGACTGATTTAAAGCACTTTTTAGAAAAGGCAAAGAAGAACCAACAATCTGGGATTTACGTGGAAAATAATAGAATAAAGTCTACTTTTTTCTAGATGTTTGTTGATTTGCATAGTTGCTCTTAAATAAACACATTCTATATAGAAAATAAAAATAGTTGACTAATAGCTTCTCCATTACTAAACTGCTACATTGTTTTTGTGACACAATATTGGACCATGGAAAACACAGATTTACCTTCAAAGCCTCAGAAGGACAAGATTTATGTACTGGACATGAAATTAGGGTAGTTTATATATATATATTTTATGTTTTTTGTTTGTTGGCATTCATATAAATACACTGGTGTGATAACTTAGTATACGTTTGATTTGTTTTTGGTTAATTTCTATTTATTTGTCTGTCCTCCCCACTGAGGACAAACAGACCCATGAGATAAAAATAAATTTTTATTAAAATAAAAACAGTATCCATTTTGATTTAGAGCGTATAAACTGCAATTCCTTCTGAAAAAGAGTAAAAATTTCTTAAAATACCCTGAATTTTAGTGGAATGAGCATCTTTTCCCTTAAAATAAGATAATCACATATTATGCACTTGAAATAAGAGACTGCAATAGTTTTTTTCTTATGTTAAATGTAAATTGTCTTATTCCATTGGCAACATGACAAGAAAAAATTTACTTATTTTAATAAAAACTGACTTATTTAGATTTACATTTTTTGCAGTGTAGAGAGAGTTATTAATCCGAGTTCTGTCAGATATCATCTTCATCCTGCTGCTCCTCTCAGTGGTTCAACTTTCTGGGCTCAGGTATTTCTCGTTCTGTCCCTTTAATTCCCCTCCAGCTGCACCCCCCCACACACACACATGTGCACGCTCCCATGCACGCGCGCACATGAGCCTTTTTCCAGTTTAATCCCCATTTGGGAAGCAGAGAGAGGCAGAGAGGCTGACACAGACAGACAGATTAGACACGCTGGATTCAGTCGCATCTCCGCTCTGCTGGCTTTTATCTTCTCCTTCGTGGTTCCTCCTCCTGCTGGGATGAAGATCAATCCGTCAGGTGATCCATGAGGCAGCTGCAGGAGGAGCAGATGAGTTTCTGACCAGCAGGAAGCCCAAGATGAATGTCTATGTTTGGAGCTGAGAAGCGGCGAGATGTACGAGGAGAACAGCAGAAGTAAGAGTTCAGAGTTTCACTGAGAAGCTTTCTGATGGACCGGAGGTTCTCACAGGTTGATGAGCTGATGGGACCTGAAGTTCTCAGTGAACTCTTTTCATTTTAACATGAAAATTCATTCATTAACAGACGAGACAGTCAGATGATTAAAATGTCTGATCTGCTGAAACCCTGAGAAATGATTCCAGGTCCAGCCTGAGGTCTCCTCTGGCCACATCAGCCCAGTTCCAGGTGACCTGCTGGAGGTTCATCTAAGTTAAGTGATAAAGAACCTCCAGGGAAATAATCAGGAGCTTTTTTACAGATTATCCTGTGTTCTGCATGACCCGATACTTCCAGAGCTCTAAATCAGGAGCAGAGCTGCACATTGTCCCACATCCAGATATGTCCATCAGCTCAGAGGGTGAGGAGTCACTGACAGGACAGGAGATGTTCCTGCATCTAGAGCAGATATGCTCCTAGAGATGGTTGACCTAGATCGATCTTTGGTGCTCAGGTCAAGGGTTCATCAACCAAACGGCTGCTTTAGAATCTTTCGGGGATCTTGGTCCTCATGTTTCCAGCTTTTCTCTCGTGGTGTCCTCTCAGGAATTCTGGGCTTTGAGGTTGTGGTTCCTTGGAAAAGGAGACTTCTGTTCCTCCACTGCTGTAGTTGCTCTCTTCATCGTCTGCCTGGCTGCGTGTTTCCTGGACAGAACTGCCTTTTACAGTTGCCTTTTGTATCTATGCTTCTTTTTCTATGTCTGCTTCTGTCTCCTTGAACCCCAGTCGGCCTCAGCAGATGCACTGGAAAAATCTACAACTAAGTAATAATTTCTTAAATTAAGTGTATTCCCCCTTAATTTGAGTACGTATTAAATGGTTTGCCAATGTAAAGAGTATTTTGAAGATATTTAGATAAAATTCACTTGAAATATGACAATGCATTTGCGTTTTCTTATTTTAAATTGTTCCATTGGTAAAATGTCTTTTTAATTCAAGAACAAAAGCACTTATTTTTAAGAAAGAAATGACTTATTGAGATTTGGATTCTTGCCGGTGTGGCGGCTCACACTGAGCCTGGTTCTGCTGGAGGTGGTGTGAATTGGCGCTGTAGGAATCAACTGAATCTAATAGTGAGAACATAAAGCCTCAGGCTCACTTCTGACTCGGTTTCTGTTGGTTTTTAGCTTTTTATTGTCTCCAATCTGAACGGTTCTGATGGTATCAGGAAGCAGGGATCTCCAAAGGTTCCTGAGCTGAAGGAATCTCAGATCTACTGGGTCAGGTGTGGTGCCCAGGTGTGGGCGGGGCCGCTGAATGGACAGGCCTCCTGCTCTCTGAATGGAGATGCTCTCCACTTACCGTCTGATGAGGTTGCCATGGAAATAAGTCTGACCTCATGTGATTGGATCAGCGCAGCGGCAGCAGAGCTAATCCTCCCATTGTTTGAAGCTCAGGAGGAATCAGATGTTCTGAGGACAGGAGAAGCTTTAAAAGTTCTTCTGACCAGAGAAGATAAGGAACATCTGATCCATTTCATCTGGAGAAAAGCAGCTTTGAAGGTTTTCAGAGATTAAGGTCACCTAAAATAATCTTCACCGCTGCGGTTCTGTTCAATCTGGTTCTTTCAGCACACATTAGAGCTCCAAACTTTGGCTAAGTCTCACCATTTTCTGGGTCCCAACATTTAGAACTAAGATAATTAACTTCAAGTCATGTTTTCAAAACCGGTTATCATTACTGACCAAGATTATTCTACTCCAGCCTTGCATAAAGGTCTCACATTCACTTCATCATCTCAGCGATCTGTTCTCCTACATTAGATTAGGTATCCAAGGCCAGCTGACAGCCTTGGCTGGGCCCAGGAAAGAATGGACATATATATATAAATATATATATTAGAGATGGAACGGTTTATGAAAACCGTCCGAACCGTTCGGTTCGACTGTCTCGGTTCGGTTCGCGTGTGTTTCGTTCGGTTCATGCGCTGCTCTTTTTTCTCATAGGCGAAGCGATTACACTCCAGAGCAGAAGGTGGCGGTACTGCGACCAAAGCCAACCACCTGTAGTAAACAAGAAGAAGAAGAAGCGAAGTAGCGTAGCCGGGTGTAGCAGGGGAAAAAATCATTTGTTGTGGAGAATTGTGTGGGTATGGCGAGTGGGAAAGAACAGGAGTTGGAAGACGCGCCAGCAGCACTTTATAGGTCTGCTGTATGGGACCACTTTGCATTTAGAGTGACCTACGATGAGGGCGGAAAGAAAGCTGTGGATAAAAGTGCAACAGTGTGCAAGCATTGTGCAACACGTTTGGTTTATGCTAACAGCAACACGACCAACATGTCATGCTAACCCCGAAATCCCTCATACTCCGTCAGCGCTCCGCCCCGCTGCGCTCCAGACCTCCGCTGTGGCTCCCGTCCGCTCCGCCCTGAGTTCCTTGGAGATGGTAGAGAGCATGCGCCAGATGATTAAATTTAAAGCAGCAAAACATGCGGAAATGATCCAGGGTTTCCACGGATCATTAAAAATAATTACAATCCATTAATTTTTTGGGATTTTTTTCATTAATTTCCTTAATTTTTATGGGATTTCGGGGTAACAATCAACATATACCGAATCGTAAACCGTGCACCGAACCGAACCGTCGAGTAAAGTTCGTATTTCCTTGCAAAAATCTTTAAAAAATATAATATTTGCTGCAAAAGTTGTAAGGGGCTGATTCAGGGGCCCGGTTGCCCCCCGGGGGCTGGCGTGGGTTCTCCCACAGAAGAAGGATTCTCCACCAGTAAATGTGTTCTAACAAAATTTACAGGTTCTCTTAAGGTAGATCTGTTGCCCTACATTAAAGGTGTTCTCACACAGAAGACAGGTTCTCCCTAGATTTGTTCTCCAGGTACGGATTCTCCTGCAGTAAATGGATCCTCCAGCAGTAAATGGATCCTCCTGCAGTAAATGGATTCTCCAGCAGTAAATGGATTCTCCAGCAGTAAATGGATCCTCCTACAGCAAATGGATCCTCCAGCAGTAAATGGATCCTCCAGCAGTAAATGGATCCTCCTACAGTAAATGGATTCTCCAGCAGTAAATGGATTCTCCAGCAGTAAATGGATTCTCCTGCAGTAAATGGATTCTCCAACAGTAAATGGATTCTCCAGCAGTAAATGGATTCTCCAGCAGTAAATGGATCCTCCTGCAGTAAATGGATCCTCCTACAGTAAATGGATCCTCCTGCAGTAAATGGATTCTCCTGCAGTAAATGGATCCTCCTACAGTAAATGGATTCTCCAGCAGTAAATGGATTCTCCAGCAGTAAATGGATCCTCCTACAGTAAATGGATCCTCCAGCAGTAAATGGATCCTCCAGCAGTAAATGGATCCTCCTACAGTAAATGGATTCTCCAGCAGTAAATGGATTCTCCAGCAGTAAATGGATTCTCCTGCAGTAAATGGATTCTCCAACAGTAAATGGATTCTCCAGCAGTAAATGGATTCTCCAGCAGTAAATGGATCCTCCTGCAGTAAATGGATTCTCCAGCAGTAAATGGATCCTCCTGCAGTAAATGGATTCTCCAGCAGTAAATGGATCCTCCTGCAGTAAATGGATCCTCCTACAGTAAATTGATTCTCCAGCAGTAAATGTATTCTCCAGCAGTAAATGGATCCTCCTGCAGTAAATGGATTCTCCAGCAGTAAATGGATTCTCCTGCAGTAAATGGATCCTCCTGCAGTAAATGGATCCTCCTGCAGTAAATGGATTCTCCAGCAGTAAATGGATCCTCCTGCAGTAAATGGATTCTCCAGCAGTAAATGGATCCTCCTGCAGTAAATGTATTCTCCAGCAGTAAATGGATCCTCCTGCAGTAAATGTATTCTCCAGCAGTAAATGGATCCTCCTGCAGTAAATGGATTCTCCAGCAGTAAATGGATTCTCCAGCAGTAAATGTATTCTCCAGCAGTAAATGGATCCTCCTGCAGTAAATGGATTCTCCAGCAGTAAATGGATCCTCCTGCAGTAAATGGATTCTCCAGCAGTAAATGGATCCTCCTGCAGTAAATGGATCCTCCTACAGTAAATTGATTCTCCAGCAGTAAATGTATTCTCCAGCAGTAAATGGATCCTCCTGCAGTAAATGGATTCTCCAGCAGTAAATGGATTCTCCTGCAGTAAATGGATTCTCCAGCAGTAAATGGATCCTCCTGCAGTAAATGGATTCTCCAGCAGTAAATGGATCCTCCTACAGTAAATGGATTCTCCTGCAGTAAATGGATCCTCCTGCAGTAAATGGATTCTCCAGCAGTAAATGGATTCTCCAGCAGTAAATGGATTCTCCTGCAGTAAATGGATTCTCCTGCAGTAAATGGATCCTCCTGCAGTAAATGGATCCTCCTGCTGTAAATGGATCCTCCTGCAGTAAATGGATTCTCGTGCAGTAAATGGATCCTCCTGCAGTAAATGGATTCTCCAGCAGTAAATGGATCCTCCTGCAGTAAATGGATTCTCCGTGCAGTAAATTGATTCTCGTGCAGTAAATGGATCCTCCTGCAGTAAATGGATCCTCCCGCAGTAAATGGATCCTCCTGCAGTAAATGGATCCTCCTGCAGTAAATGGATTCTCGTAGCAGTAAATGGATTCTCGTGCAGTAAATGGATCCTCCTGCAGTAAATGGATTCTCCAGCAGTAAATGGATCCTCCTGCAGTAAATGGATCCTCCTGCAGTAAATGGATTCTCGTGCAGTAAATGGATTCTCCTGCAGTAAATGGATCCTCCCGCAGTAAATGGATTCTCGTGCAGTAAATGGATTCTCCAGCAGTAAATGGATTCTCCTGCAGTAAATGGATCCTCCTGCAGTAAATGGATTCTCGTGCAGTAAATTGATTCTCCAGCAGTAAATGGATCCTCCTGCTGTAAATGGATTCTCCAGCAGTAAATGGATCCTCCTGCAGTAAATGGATTCTCCAGCAGTAAAAGGATCCTCCTACAGTAAATTGATCCTCCTGCAGTAAAAGGATCCTCCT